ACCTGCTCGTCTAGATCATTTGCATTCTCTGGGCGGTAAAGGGCAGTATTTGTCAACAGCTCATTTACAGATGAGTCGTACTTTGTCCAGTTTGTATTCCTGACATTATTGAAAGCTTCTAAACTCGGGGTATTTCTTTAAGTCTATAGAAAATTCTAAAATTATAATTGCTTTAGCAAGCGCACTGTCGCGTTTGGGTGTTGAGTGACGATCATCAGCTTTATCGGCCAGTTAATAACTGACAAAATTATTAAAGCATAAATGGGTGTATCAGCAGCACTCAGACGGGTAAATAGAGGTACACCCAAGAGGGCGTACTCTCTCCTCTGCTCTTGAATACAGTGGTGAATGAACTGCTGCAAAAACTGAGGAGAGCAGGCTGCGGGACAGTTGCATATGCGGATGACATTGCGTTAACAGATACTGGAAAATATGCTACCACTTTAAGGGATAGTTTACAGTATGGCCAGAATTTCCTTAAGAATTGGACACTGAAATGTGGTCTCGGGGTTAACCCAGAAAAACAGAAATCGTAGTATTTACCAGAAAATATAGGGTTCCAAATCTTTCTCCACTCAATATTAAAGGTTCTACGATAGATCTTATTAGATCTAATGCTCCACTTAATGCCACTTGAAATCATTGGTAAGCAGTTGGCAGCATCATCCGTCGTAAGGCTCAAGGCTACATCACAATGGAGGGCTAGTGACCATGGGCACGGCTCCATTCTAAAACTTTTCCGATTCTCGACTTTGATAGGAAATTTATTATTAGATTTCCATTCAGGGAAGTTTGGTTATCAGGAGGTCCCTCCCTGGGTGAGAGTCTACAAATTTTTGCCGATGGTTCGAAGACTGTATATCCTCCTATTATAGACTTGCAGATCACTGTATGTTTTTCAGGCAGAAGTAACTGTCATAAAGGAAGCTTTAGCTTGTCTAAAAGTAGGTAATATACTTGAAAGGAATATATATATACTATCGGATAGTCAAACTGCTTTAAAGTCCTTGAGTTCAGTCCAATTCACATCTAGGACGGTCTTTGACTGCCACACATCTCTAAATGACCAATTATGGGCAATTATTTTTTTTTTAAAGTATTTTTTTAACGCCCCGACCTACAAAGCATCTATAAAATGCTATTGTTTGTTGTATCAGAGGAAGGAATATAATTTGATGTATTATCGTCACCAAGCTGTCTAAATAGAAATCCTTCATGACATATGTTTTCAATTTCCAACAACGTTGAATCATTTGATTTGCAGTTGCTGTTTGTTTGAATGCATGATAACCTTTATTTATACCAGTCTGGCTAAGATGTATTTTATTTCATTATTCGATGGATGAATGTTGAGACTTGAATTTCACCTTATTTTAAAAAATGTATATTCTAAAGCATTTTAGTTTAGTTTTTCAGGTAAGAAGTATGAAATTGCTGAATGATTTTTAAAGATATTTTCGGACAATTGTAGTATAGAATTAGGAGTATAAATCAAACCATCAAAACATTTATAATGATTATTCTTAACAGGGAGAACAATTTTAATGAAATTTATATATCTTTGATATCGATCATGGTTTTCATCATCGTTTTATAAAAAATGGGCGTTTAAGAACATTTATGTTAAGGATATATTTTGAATTTAAATCATCAAATATATTCATGCTCTCTACAAATACAACTGTTGGGGAGACAGCTTTATTTAAATTTTCATTTATTTGAAATAATTTAAAAGCATTATAATATTCTATAGCCTGTCACAGATTTACTGAATAACTGTTTAGGTTTTCTAACAAACATTTTTTTAAAATATGAATATGGGTCATTCTTTTACAAACCGGACGGATTTCGGCAAAAAATGACCTCATCACCTACGATTTGGCTGAAATTTTTTTTATGAGCTCCTTTCATAAAATAAGAAGACCCGTATCTCGGGAAAAAATTTTGTAATTTTTTTCCTAGGAGATATGGACCCATGGGGTTTTGAGAATTGGCATTGTAGACACATATTCAAATGGCTATATCTCAAGTTTTATAAAAGGTAGAAACTTGAAATTTATTGCGTTTTAAAGATAATTGGTTGGGCTTTTAATAAATTGTTTAAACAATTAAGATTGTTTATATTTAAGTACTAATATTAACCGTTAAATTACAAAAAAAAAGATATCTTAAAAGGGTACACAACATTTTTCATTTTTTATATTTTATTTAGATTCAGTTTTAAATTCTACTAAGAAATAAAAATTTTCATGATAGTATCGGTTTTTATAAATTTTTAAAATTTTTTTTTTTCTCATAAAACACATCAAACACATGCGTGCTATATTTACATTGAATGAATTTTCAAAAAATATACTACAAATATTCTTATATAATATTTTTGATTTCAATTAGTAATAAAATTGTACATAAAACTCAAAAATTTCAGGACGATATTGTCGTTGGAACTACTTTTAAAAAATTTATTTATCCTTCACATCACTCCAAACCCATACACACGATTTTTCAGTAAAAAAAAAACAGAGGAATACGTCACACAAATTTTTCATTTTTACTTTTAATTCCGATTAAACAATAAATTCTTCTTCGAAAATAAATATTTCCAGTGTGATATTGCTTCCAGAAGTAATTTAAAAAAAATTAATTTATCAGGTGTCCTTCATGTTACTCATACGCACCATAATACCCTTGAATCAATTTTCCAAGAAAAGTGACACAATATTCACATTTTAAATTAGTTCCGCATCATCTCTATTTTTAAATTATAAATTTTAACATAATTAAACCGTTTTATGAAATTTTTCTTAAATTGATCAGTTTAAAAATTAATTAGTTCCACACTAGCTGAACTACCTGTATAACTGCAGCACATAATTACACAGTTGAAAAAATTCTTTAAGCAGGTACGAATTGTTATAGGAAATAAACTGTAAACAATTCTATATAGAGATAAACTGTAAAGAACTATAAACAAAAAGGTCCGGTTTGTAAAAGAATGACCCATATGCATTACTCTTATAGCGCTGATTTTGTACTTTAATAAAAATGAAAATACATATGCTATATTTAAATTTGAAAATTATTTATTAAATTCCGTTTATTTTAATTCAGCCAGAAAGTTGAAACTTATCTGAAGAAAATATTTTTCTATCTAATTTTACAAACTTTGTGCTGTCAATATAATTTAAATTGTAACTCAGCTTACTGTGATTAAATATCGACAGCCACATTCTGTTACTTTTGTGGATTCACTTAAACTGTTCTACTATTGAAGACGTGTAGCAAGTAACTCTCTATGAGTTTTTGATATGAAATGATATTTGTGATATGAAATGATTTGTGATTACACCTGTAGAAGTCTCAAATCAAACTTTAAAAACGCTGGCATTTTCATGTTCACTATTCTTCTCTTACATATATGATGGAGTTGGTGGAGCAGTCGCATTGCTTCGTGGAACTGCTTTATTTGCTGATGCTACTTCCGGATACTCTAAAAATCTTATTTTCTTTGGCGACATCACACTTTTAAGGTTTATTATAGAGAAATAGCAATGACAATTGTATAGAACCTTTTTCTAAATTTCTATTACACAGAAGTTCAAATATTGTTTTATCCAATGAACCATCTCTTAAATGTAATCTTGCAGGTTGGGCACACGTTAAACTTTTATATAAAATGCAATATATATTCTCCAACTTGTTAATAAAAAACGCTATTTTGAAAAAATTTGAAAAATGGCGAATAACGTCTGAAATTTGTATTCACATCTATGTTCGGCGACTCAAAAAATTTGTTTTAAAACAGGCTTTAATATCATTAAAAAATTTTTTTTTGATATATTTTTGTGGAAGTTCTTTCAGACTGAAAATAAAAAAAAAAGTTGAAAAAACCGTAAAATTAACATTTTTCATCAATACATTCCTAGCTACAGCAGCTAAACTAATTAAGGTAAATTAACGGTATGCAATTTAAAATATTCGTGCAAGTTTCACCTTTAATTTGATATACGAGACTGAAAGAGATATACAAATGAAACAAATTTTTTTCGGCAAATAAACATTTTATTTTTCTACATAATCACCTTTTAGCTCGATACATTCAGTTCAGCGTTTTTCTGATTTTCTTATTTCCTCCAAATAATAGGTTTTCTCACAGCTCTCAAAATACGCATTTGTTTCGGTAATGACTTCTTCATTCCACTCAAATCTCTTACCGCCCATCCATTTCTTTAGGTTTGGAAACAGAAAATAGTCGCAGGGGGCTAAATCTGGAGAATATGCTGGATGGGGTAGCAGTTCGTATCCCAATTCGTGGATTTTGGCCATCATGACTAGACAAGTGTGCACACTTGTGTTGTCTTGTTGGAACAGCACTTTTTTCTTCGACAAATGCGACAGTTTTTACTTCAAATCAACATCGAATCTGTTCAAAAGTTTTGAATAATATTTTTCGGTGATCGTTTTACCTTTCTCGAGGTAATTGATGTGAATGACACCGCTATCAAAATTCAACTGAACGACGTAGCTTGCTCCAAATGAGAAAGTTGCCCACTGGTAGATTACAGCTGACGGCAGCACTGTTGTATTTGGAGTAACTGCGCAGAAAATTTAAAAAGTCTCTGACTTATCAAACTGCCCTCGTACAATACAATATCAAGTAACTTCACAAGAAAAAGTTATGGGGGCATATGCAGGGTGATGTTTTCAGAAAAATCAAAATAACGGTTTTTCGCTAATAAAACGAAAACGATACACAAAAAAAAATTGTTGTGATTTTCGAGTTCTACGGAAATCACTATGGAAACACATGGCTGTAAACTAGTGTAATTAACTGGAAATATTAGTACTTAATATTTAAGAATTTTAATTTGTAAACCATTTGTTATTGATTTTTTTTTAAGATCTGCAACGCGATTGGTCTCTACAATTTTCAGAGCTAAAGAAATGACGATTACAAAATTTTTTGAAAATGCAAATTTTCAAAAACCAAGATACCGCATTTGAAAAAATATTTTATTGTAATATATGGATAATACCAATGCAGTAGAGAAACATATAAAAAAATTTTAAGTGAACAATGAAGATAATTATGATTGAAGTCCGTCTGGCTTGTAAGTGCTTGTACAATATAACTGCAATTTTAAATCCGTGCATTTTAATCAAGTAATGTACAACATCATACCTGTTTTGTAATCAATATCAAATAAGTCATTATCATTTCCTTCCGATATTGTAAAAACTAAATCCCTTTTTAATGGATTTAGAGCCCTTATTGCAGTTGAAAGCGGAGTGTACAGTGTAACATCTTCTCTTATTAAAAAAGTATAAATTTGCTTTTCAAACGTTGGTATAGTTTTATCCACAACCTAAAAAAATAATTTAATGAATTTTTAGAAATTGTTTTAATATATGGCATATAAAATCCTAAAAAAGCGAGAATATTTAAATAATGTCTGGATGACATTAGCTTTCTAAGTGAATTTCGCAGTTCATATTGGAGTGTATTTGGTTTATTAGAGTACATTCACTTTACTCTTACCTTAATAATTAATGAAACTTCTGTGAAACAGGGTATAACTCCACCATCATATGCTGCAATTATCAGTTCAAAGGTTTTATTTTGTTTACCAACGTTATGCTTTAAGACTATTTCGCCATTTGTTCTATCCACTCTAAATAAATCTCCACTTCCTTTTTTCATTTCATATCGAACTGCACCGTTCTCTGCGTAGTCTAAATCCATAGCTTTTACTTTGAATAAAACTGTCCCCTTTTCATCGTTAATGGAAACTGTTCCGAAATAGGGAAGATTTATAAATATTGGACAATTATCATTCTCATCCAATACTGAAACAAATACTTCAGTCAGTGATCTACGAACTTGTAAAAAATTGTTGAATAGAATCGATTTTGCTTCTATTATTAACTTATAGCAATCTTCACGTTCTCGGTCAAACATACTTCCAGCAGTTTTAATGGCTCCAGAAGATTTACCAATAGAAAACATGTGACTTTTATTTAGGATAGAATACTCTACATTTTCATTTAATGTATTTCCAAAAACATTCACAAGTCCTATTGTAGCTATTTTAGATGAGTTTTCCTTGACTGAAAATTCATATCGTTCCTTTTGAAATATTAAGCCAGAACTGTTAACGTGTTCCATATGAATATTTAATTGCATGACACTTGAATAAATACCGTCAGAAGCTCTTATATGAAGGGTATAAATATGAAATATATCCAAGTATGAAGCATTTCTGCAATTAAAGAAATACAAATTGTTTGTAGCTTTAAAGAAACTTTTACAAGTGTGTACATATATATTTCAAATAATAATAATTTAATAATATGAATGAGCTATTTTGCTGCGGAGAGGGGAAAAGAATACTCCCGCCGTTAGGATTGCCTGTTGTAAGAGGCGACTAAAATCCCCCAGTGCCAGTTCGGCCCTTATGTAGGAAGTGCAAATTGTAGTGAGTGAGATCCGCACTCGCGACATATGACTAGAGATAAACCGATCTGGTACTACGGGGGTCAGTGGTCCGCAACTTCGGCTGTTCTGACCATTGGCGTTGGCTTCGTAGTGGCTGTCTGTTAATACCCAAACGTACGCGGGAAGAATGATTTAGATATTGGATTATCATTCATTCGCCGTGGAGTGCGTTTCATACTGGGTGCTACAGCCCAAATTGTAGCAGAGGCTTAAAATGGGCCTCGCATCTTACCAAGATAAAAGTTATGACTTACATGAATGTCTTCATTGGTACCGACGGAATAAGTAAGGCTATTCCAATGGGGCGTTTATCGGCGCATTATCTTGATACATTGTCTATCTGTACACACATTTAGTTTGATACCCTAAATAATTACAAACAGTTCATTTAACTAATTTATCCTGCATCAATTTTTAGTGTATGAAATACCTTTCAATTATGATTGTTAAATATCTCGCTTTTCTTTATAACAAACATGTAAATACTACGGTTTGCAATTACAACACTTTCATTAATTGCGAACACTTGTTTGCTGCTAAAGAGCCTCGCACTTGTTCTCCTGCTGCTTGTTGCGAAATACTGTTCTTACTTGTTCACTTGCAAATAAAGTTTTCTCTACTAAAATTAAATATCGTGTTTCTTATGTCAGCCTAAATATCACAAAATTGATGTCCAATATGTTCTACTACATAAAGCTCAGATATCTCACCGGTTAACTCTATCAAGTTAAACGTATAGAAACTCAAATGGGTCATTTTCAGTTTCATGTTCCATGTTTGAACGAGATAGTATAAATCGAATTGAGCTTCAAAATTTCTGGAAATACACGTAACCGGCTCTTAACCATTTTTAGACATTGTTTTATTTTTAACCATGTTTCAATCCAGTTGAGGAAAGTTAGAAATTAAAACTTTTCATAATATCCCCAATAAACTCCCTTTATTGTGTGGACTACAATTTAATAAAAGAAAATATTATAAGTATATGATTATTTATTAACTGCATCCGATGGGTATGCAGGTTGGAATTAGAATGTATTCTTATGCTCTGCTTCATAAGCTTAGAGCTAAACTTAACATACAAAAACAACTTACGCTAGCACTTATTATGTATCTAAGGGAATGGTAAAGCATGTATACATAAAACAGTATCTCACATAGCGTGGTTTTAAATAACATGAAGGCATTGCTGCTTCATATGTGCTTAAGCAACAGGAATGTGCTGGCCATGCATAAATCATGTAGCTGTGCATTACTAAGTAAATTATATAGTCTTTTTAGACTATTTAGCAATAAAGTATATTTACTGAAGTTGCGTTAGGTTAAATGTATATGCGTAAATGTATGCATACTAAACCTCCAATCAGCCTCTCATCATTTAAGTTGAAGATTCTAAAAAAATATCGGATCAAAACACACCTACACCAAGGGAAAATTTACAGGGACAGCTCTCTATGCCTTCACTCACACGAATGAAAAATCTCTCAAACTCAGGCAATTTCTTTTAGTTGCTTGCTCAGTATTAAAAGAGCTTTTAACAATATACTCCTAAATGCTATAGAAATCGAAAACTGCACATGAAAACTGTTCATACTGTACGGTACGGTAGATCAGCGTAGAGTTGAATTCTGCATTAGTGGTGTACATAACTAGTCAGCAGGATTATCTGCTCTAAACTTCAAGCAGTCCTACCCTGGATTCCCGATCATAGAGATATTTTCGGCTATTCCAAAGCAGAGCTAGCCAGAAGGGATACTTCAGGAAACCACTCGCAACACCTAAACAATCTGGGCATGTCGCTGACATCATCTAAACAGAGTTCTTTCTCTGCTAAACTTTTTAATAAAAAATGAAAGGAATCAACAATATATAGGCATCTGTATTAATTTGACCACGTTCCATTGAAAGGAAATCTAATAATCCCGCAAAGATATTAATCTTGTGGTAGGTTAACTCATAGGTTATTGCAAATTTGGTAACCATGCCAGTACATTGAATAAATTCCTTAGATGCTTCCACTAAAGAGTGTTTAGTGGAAGCATCTAAACATTATTATCTATTATCCAAATTTTTTTTATGGTTTTCCGCTCACTGCCACACCCACCCCCCATACAACATTTTCATATAAAATCGTTTATTATCGTTAAAAAACTTTTTACTCCTATTAAGCTATATATATAAATTACGTATACAGCAACACAACTTTATGCAAAAAATGGGCGTGATCCGACCATTAGGAACTAATGGTCTGTTTGCAGTTTTATGATATTTTAGCGAAATTACGATTTCGCAAAAATTGGACCAATTTTAAAGCCTTATTACTTTTTTTACTACTTATTCAAATATAATCATTTTTAATTTCTTTTAAAGCTTAGGATATTGTTATTCATTATGTATAAAAATAATTTTTTATTTTAATTATCAATAAAATTTTATTAGCGAATTTCCACAAAAAGTCAGCAATTTTTTCATGGTGATTTTCATTTCTATCTGCAATACCCTAAAAAGATATCCTTGTTTCTTCATAAAATTTTTCCTACTAATAGCCAAATAGTGAAACTATATAACAAAAAAAAATTTGGCCTGCGCACTCTATGTTTTACACCTTTTGTGGGCCTCAAAAACTAGTGAAAAATAACGAAAAATATGACCTTCAATCAACTCCATTTATTTCAACAACAAATTCAATAAGTAATAATAAAAAGATATTTATAATTTTATAAATATTTAATTTATTTATATTTCAAATTTCAACGAAATCGGTTGAAAAACAATGAAGTTATAACCCATTATGTGTTTGTACGCCCTAGTTGTGGGCGTACAAACAAAGTTCTGAAAGCATATGAAGGAGTTGTTATTTTTCTTAATGGTTCTCTCAGAGTAAATGTCAGGTATGGCAATATTACTCGAAGCCTCGAGATACTTGTAGTTGACGATGAATATGTTACTAACATACTGGGAATGGATTGGTTTACAATATTAAATTTCAAACTGTAGCTACCCGTTATTGAATGTTATGCAAATAATCCTTGTAGTTCAAGTCAACATAGTTTAACCGCATCTTTACATGAACTCAGATGTCAACATGCTAACATTTTTTCTTCGAAATTGGGGTGATGTACGTTGTTAAAAGCTGAAATCAGATTGAAGCCAGATGTTAAGCCTAAATTCTTTAAACCATACAACCTGCCGTTTGCGAAATAGAGAACGTTTAAATCGAAATTGAACTGTTGATAAATATTGGAGTTTTGGAAGCTATCAGAAGCAGCGTTTGGGCCGCTCCTATAGTTGTAGTGTCGAAGCCAAATGGGAAATTACGTATTTGTGCAGATTTCAGAATTGGTGTAAATTCGCAAATTAAGATTGATAGGTATCCAATTACTAGAGTTGAGGAACTTTTTTATAAACTTCAAGGAGGACAATTTTTCACAAAAATTGATCTTAGTGAAGCGTACTTGCAAGTAGAATTGTGTGACGTAACAAAAGAAGTTCTAGTAATCAATACGCCATTTGGTTTGTTCCAGATTCAACGATAGCCATTCGGTACTGCCAGTGCATATTTCAACGTCTTATGGAAGAAGTAACCGCCGGAATACCGAACTGTGCAGTTTATTTAGATGATTTAATCGTAACAGGTCGAAGTAATAAAGAACATTTGAATAATGTTTTCAAAATTCTTCGATATTTGGAAGAATACGGTTTGACATGTAAAAGCGAAAAATATAATCAATTTGAATGGATTACTGCCCACTGGAAAACGTGTAGAGGCAATCAAAATGATGCCGCGTTCCCGTAATATTCAAGAAGTTGAAGCTTTTATTGGAAAAGTTAATTATTGTAACAAATTCATCAAACAGTTTTCATTAAACAGCTGCTCCCTTAAATGAACTCAGAAAAAAGAATGCTGTGTTTAAATGGACAGCATATCATGACGATGCTATTCAAGCATTGAAGAATGCTATGATCAAAGCTACTGAACTCATTCATTATAATGATAACAAACCTGTAGCGTTAGCAGTAGATGCATCTAAGTATGGAGTACTTTCACATCGTTATGCTGATGGTTCAGAAAAACCAATCGCGTATGCTTCAAAAAAATTAAACAGCAGCCAAGAACGCTATTCTCAAATCGAAAAAGAGGCACAAGCAATAATTCACGGAGTGACAAAGTTTCATCAATATCTTTATGGGAGACGTTTTGAATTAATAACTGATCATCAAGAGTTGACAACACTGTTTAATCCGGGTAGAAAATTGCCAGTGATGGCGTTGCATCGCTTACAGCGTTGGGCTATTGTACTTCAAGCATATATACGGTTCAAAAGTTCATCTCAGAAACCCAACGCCGCTGCTCTTTTCATATTGCCGTCTGGGGATGAGATACAATTTGACAGAAAGGAAGTTGTGATGTTAGATGAAGTCGATACTGTTTATCAAAATGCTGTCGATTACCTTCCAGTAAATGCAACATTAGTGAAGGATATGACTGCTAATGACGACACTCTTCAAATATGTGTCCGCAAGTATGTAGAAGAGGGTTGGCCTGATCAATTGCCGAAATCTGAAGGTAGTATCAAACCGTACTTTAATCGCTGGTTTAACTTATCATTTCAGAATGGAGTGTTACTACTTTAGGCTAAATACACTAGAGTAGTGCTTCCGAAAGCACTGCAGTCCCAAGTATTAAATTTGTTAAATGAGAGTCACTGGAGTAAAGGTCGTATGAAGCAGATGGCAAGACGATATGTGTGGTTTCCTTT